TTTGTTTGCTCTGCACCTGTTTTGTATTGTTTTATAGACTTTGATATTGAATATGTTCGTTATCTCCATATCCTTCCCTACACTTTTATTTAAGGGAAAAGATTGTTGTTTATGCTAGGCACATGTTGTGACTTAGTATGAGAATTGTAAATATATGAATTAGTGTTAAAGACTTTGAAGTAAGCAGGTAAACAGTAGCTTACATGTGGGTGAGCATCTTTTGCCATGCTTTATAGATGCATGTGTGTTTACATGACTGTATATACTGTATTAACACGAATGTTTCTTTAGTTATAATGGGACAGAGAATAAAGTTTTAATTGATTGTATTAAGTGATTTTGAAAAAAAAAAATGTTGATATTTATTTAATAATTTACTGAGTAAGTTTGACCTAATTTGTGCATCTCAGCATGCCTTAAGCGTAAAGGATATACTCATTTTTTTTTAATGTGAGTTCGAGTCAAAATAGGAATACTATGTAATTCAATCTTTTTCAGTAAGATTGAACCTTTTTGTAAGAAAGAATAACTACAACATTGATAATGTTTGTTTATGCTCATTTTCTATAATTTTGTTCTAAGGAAAAAATATATCTTAATTATAAATTTTGATTGCTTTGCGTCGCAAAAAGTCAATATGTCTTTTCTGATTAAAGTCTTTCCTAAAGAACTGAATGGATTACAGACATGTGGCAATGGCAGATTTTTAAACGTCTTCAGACATATAATCATGTCAACTTAACGATAAGCAAGACGTACTAAGGCCATGAATAAAACCTTATAAATCTCAAAGCTAAAATTGATATCAGGAACAGAAAAACACAAAATTGCGTTATTTCCCTAATACATGAGATTGGTTTCAATTTTAATACGTTAGCGTAACAAAGTGCATCTATTTATAATAATTCATGCAAAAAATGATTATATATTGTTGACTAACACATTTCTACTCTCTTTAGAGTATTAAAGTCGAATATTTAGACTTAAATCCATTTAAATACAACAAAATCTAGGAAAGGTAAATTTTCAGTATTTTACATTTCGGGGAATATACTCCGCTAGGCAATAGCGGAAAAGTAAACATGTTGACATATCATTTTTCTTGTATCTGTCCATTGCTGTGATGTATGTCTATCTTTTAAAAGCAGACTTTTAAAGATCGAGCCCATTTAGTGCCGAGTATAGAATTACCTTAAACACACAAAATTATTTCCTTAATACACGAGCTTGTTTTACTTGTCAATTGGCTAGAACTAATATACTTTAGATATTACATGACTAGAATTCAGTAAAATAGAGCCATTCCATTAAATACGGATATCAAATTGTAAATATTTATGCTCTTGAAAGAAATATTTTTGGGAGAAGTGGGGCATTAAATATTAAGAAGATGATTTATAATTATAATTAAACATATTTTTCAAAGATATTGTCTCATGACTGCAACGATATATGCTCACTTTCTTTACTGACAAACTCAGGTTCAATTATGAGTTTATAATTTTCGAAAAAAAAAGTAAAACGCGATTTCTTTTTTATCTTTATACCTCTAGGATTGAAACTGTACCTTTTTTCATTTTTTTTTTTCGTTCAGGAGCTTGTTTTACTTATCAATTGACTAGAAGTAATAGACTTTAGATAAGACATGACTAGAATTCAGTACAATAGGACCATCTCATTGAATGCAGGTAACAGTGTGTAAATATTTAAGCTCTTTAAAAAAATCCTTGGGGGAAGGGGGAATTAAATATTTATAAGATGATTTTAATTAAGCATTTACGCTCTTTAAATTAAAATTCTCGGGAGGAGGGGGCATTAAATATTTATAAGATGATTAAGAATTCAATCTAAATAAAATTAGATGTTAGAACTGCTCGCATACTCGCTACACTAACATCTAACAACATCCCATTGAGGGTCGCGTCAGAGGTCAATTTCTATCAACCAATCAGATCGACGCCTGCAAAATCCTCAAATATTGTTGAAGCGAATAAGTCTAGAGCTGTTCCGAATTTGACCTCTGACGTGACCCTCAATGGGATGTTGTTAGATGTTAGTGTAGCGAGTATGCGAGCGGATCTAACATCTAATTTTAATTAGATTGATTAAGAATTAATCATAATTTTGAAAGATATAAAAAATAAATGCGAATATTTTTATTTTTATACCTCCAGCATTGAAACTGCACCTTCCTTTTCTTTCTCAATCCTTTTATCAATTTTGTCTACAAAACATTTATAATTTAAAAGCCTTGTAACATGTTTCTAATTCTAGCTACAGAAACTGTATTGTTAGGTTTTATATTTTTGTTATTGATGAAAACGCAACCGATCTCGTAAAGCAAGTATTGAGTAGTTGACGACGTTCATTGCCAACTTTGGTGATATATTTTTCTTCATTTCAGCATTGAACTATCAAGTACCGCCTCCATTCCCTTTATAGACTTCTCTTGTGACCCCCCCGAAAGTGTTTTCTATCAATAAAAAAACGATTTAATTAAGTTTAATGGACGATTATAAAGGGTCAGGGTTGGGATAAAATATACAGGTTGTTAAAGAGTATTTCTCAAATTAAGAAAGGACGGGTGGTTTATTAAACAATGCAGGAAGGTGGAAAAAATTATCCCTATCCGTGTGCGCCGTAAAAACCACTTAATTCTAATTATCAACACACATATAAGGAGATGACAGACTGATGAACAACATTTACAATACGGGATCTGTAGCATTTTTGTCTAAAAGACTCAAATATATGTCAATATCCGGAGATGACAGACTGATGGATACTACATGTACTTCTACCCAGTTATGTGACCTTTCACAAGGATCAGTTAAAATTCAAGGAATGTATTTAAAAAACATTGTCTTTGTTGTTAACATACTTAATACACACTTACTTAATATTAACATACTTAATATCATTAGACTATTAATTATAAAACGACAATTAATAAAATAAAAACAAAACTTTTATTATGTAACAATACTTAATGCGATTTTCTCGTTTTTAGTAATTAACAGCAATTCTCTGTAATGACCAACCATATCATATATAGAGCGTGGCACACTAGGTCTCAGAAAATCAAAATAAGTTTCCATATACCTTGTATACATATATAAACATAAAAAGTGAAACAATTATGTTGCTATGGATTGCCGTTGCCATGGTAACGAACTCACCTACTTTCCCCTCCTGAAATGCTTCTTTTTCTCACAATAATCGAGAAGATTGGAGTGTTTATATTGCCGTTACTACATTCATTAAAGTTCTGATCATGATACGTGTTGTTAATATGATGAAAAATGATTAGATTAAAATAATAAAAAAAATTCTAAAAAATGTTACAATATTGGAATATCGTATGCTATTAGGAGTCCTTGAGTAGCTTTGGAAAAGGTCAAATTTGGTCATTTTTCAAAGACGTTTTACATTCGAATGCAGCCATGCAGGAGTTGGGCATGATAATATCTATGAAGGGGACATACTGTACTATCAATATATGCAATAAAATTTTGGGGGCAATTGGGTTTAAGAGTAGTAACCATGGAAACAAAATTGACATTTTCCCCTTTTTTAAAGTTAAGATTTGGGTCATATTTCAAAGAAGCTTTACATTCGAATGCAGCCATGCAAGAGCTGGGCATCATAAAATCTATGAAGGTGGCATACTGTACTATCAATATATGCAATAATATTTTTAGGGCAAATAAGTGTAAGAGTAGTAACCATGGAAACAAAAGTGAGATTTTTCCATTTTTTTCAAAGGTCAAATTTGAGGCATATTTCAAAGAAGTTTTACATTCGATTGCAGCCATGCTGGAGCTTGGCATAATAATATCTCTAAAGGGGGCATACTGTACTATCAATATATGCAATAATATTTTTGGGGCTAATGGGTTTAAGAGTAGTAACCATGGAAACAAAATTGACATTTCCCCCTTTTTTTAAAAGTTCAAATTTGGGTCATATTTCAAAGAAGCTTTACATTCGAATGCAGTCATGCAGGAGCTTGGCATTATAAAATCTATGAAGGGGGCATACTGTACTATCAATATATGCAATAATATTCTTTGGGCAAATAAGTGTAAGAGTAGTAACCATGGAAACAAAAATGAGATTTTCCATTTTTTTTCAAAGGTCAAATTTGGGGCATATTTCAAAGAAGTTTTTCATTCGAATGCAGCCATGCTGGAGCTGGGCATAACAATATCTATAAAGGGGACATTCTGTACAATCAATGTATGCAATAATATTTTTGGGGCTAATGGGTTTAAGAGTAGTAACCATGGAAACAAAATTGACATTTTCCCCTTTTTCAAAAGTTCAAGTTTGGGACAATTTTCCCATTTTTGAAAGGCCAAAATTACAAAAAAGTTAATACAAGGGTTCAATTGTATTTAATATCTTATTTGCCCATTTAAATGTATCTAAAGGAAGTAAACACAACACAATCAAACAAGCATTTGATCATACAATCTGTATGTTGCCATAGAAACATATAGGCATATCATAACTGGCAAGTATTAAAATTGATTGATTGTCTGATTGTTTGAATTATAATATATCAATAAAAACGTCAAATATATCAAATTATTAATCAACAAATGTACATTTGTTTGTTACAGTTATATATGAAATTTGGCTATCGCATGTGCATATCGTCAGTGCATACCTTAAAGAGAGAACTGCCAATTCCTATAACAAAATGACATGAGATCTATTTTGACTAGCGGGAGCTTAACGTACTAAGCATGTGGGAATGAACAGTATGGTATTTTCCAAGTTGCAGAAATATTCAACAACGATCATATTACATGTACATAAAAATTTTATAACTTTCATTTGAGCTGCATTTTCACAATCTGTCAACTTTTCAGCAACTGGTAAATAATTCAAATGTTAGGCTTTATATCACAGTTGCAACATGAGTTTATAATTTACATTGCACAAAGGCATATATTTCTAATACATGTAGCTGGTCTTACAGTAAAATTTTGTCACATATGTTGAAAAACTAGTACAATGTTGTATTACATATCAAATTTAAAAGCTAATCAACAGATATAATCGATCTCCCCCACCCCTCACCCCTACGCCTAATTATTTTGATCTAATAGGAGATTCCTTGTCTGATCTTTTCGGTCTTCTTCCTCTGAGGCACAGAAATCTGCAGCAGTCATCCTCTTCTCCTTTTGACAAAGACGGGAGAAGAAAGAAGATATCTGCTGACCAGAAAGGAATTCTGACCTACTAAACAGTCCACAATTCCTCATCTCCTCCGCTGCAATATACGGATCTACTTTATTGCCAGTCCTCTTCCCAATATCGAACTTCTCTGTCATGAAAGCTTTCTGCCCAGAAGTGAAAGTTACTCTTTGTCTGTTTTCTTTAATGGCCCATCCCATGTCTAATTCTGAACATCTACATACATCAGTATTGCTGTGGGACTCTAAAACCACAGATCTTTGTGGCTGGAAAGACAAAATCTTATCTGCATACATCCTCTTTGCCTTCTCTGAAACGTTCATTTTGGCATCGCTTCTGAAACTACAGTTGCCCATGTTTACATGATTTTCAAGAGCCTTTTGTGTAGAGAATGTCTTGGAGCAACTTCCCTCCGGACATTCCAGAACAGATGATCTAGATGGATTCTCCTCACTAGTGTCCTCTACAAATCAAATCATTCTTTGTTAGATAAGATGTAACGTCTCCATTTAAGTAAAAAAAAATCTTGAGTGAGACGCAAAACAATAAATAAACAAAAAAACAATGAATTATTGTACATGTAAGCTTTTCTGGGGTTATTTTTGGTTGCTGCTTAGTGGCTAGAAAGTAAGAGTAAAAAATCCCTAATCAAACTGAAAATTACCAGGAGTTTCTTCTTCCATTTCTGAAATTCCTCCGCCAATCCATCCAGCCACTGTCTTTAGTTCTACAGAATTTTCTGGGGCACTTAGATGATCCCAGGTTAGTAACTTTCCTATAAAGAAACATTGATAGATATTCATTTTAAAATGCATAAACAAAGGATGCTGCTTGAAATATGAAACCTCTTATGCCCCCCCCCCCCCCCCACTTGGGCATATATATCATAGGGTGATAAATCTAGATATCAAATTTCATTTCAGTGTGTGCAATCTCTACAAGGAAATGAACAGAAATAACATATTATTGGGATATATCTAAGCCAAAGGTCCTTTGGCTTAGATATATCCCAATGAAAGGATCAATAACTGTGTCAAAAATTGCCCGATCATACCTAAATAATTGTGGTCCTGCCTCTTTAAAAATAGTCGTTGATAAAAACATATACCTGTGTATCAGTCTTTGTCGAAATCGGCAAGAGTATTTGCTGATAAAATAATTGCACACAAATCATTCCCCATAACTATCATATCAAAATACACTTTGAATATGTTCTTCATTACCTTTACCAACTGAATAGGCTTTCCACATCCTGAGTCCAGTTAAATATGAGTGTTAAAAATGAAAGGGATTTCACAGAAGTTCCGTCGTTTTCTTCTACTGTTTGCTTCCAAAACATGGACAGAATGGTTTGCACAGATAGAGAAATTTCGTTGAGAAGGGAGCAATCCGAATTCAGTACAAATAATTACGCTTTCGTCGTTTACTTTCTCCGATAAACGCTCAGTTTGGTCGGAACACTTGATATGTGCATCTTTTTCACGAAAATCACAAGCCATTACCAAAACCTAACTATAACAATATAAAAAAAACTCCAACGACTCAGCCCAACACCGGCATCTTTCGCAGACGTATCTGACGTCTGACGTTCAATGTTTTTGTTTACATGTCGCCTTTTTGCGGTATTGGTTAAGTCGCGCCATATATAGGTTTAGTGTTACCTTCAAAAAGTCGAAATATCGCAAATTTGTTTTAATTATTAATCAAAAAATGTATGATAATGTATATATTTATTTATTCATTTAAATATATATTCATATTCATTGATTGATACTGATTGATGGAAATGGTTATGATTGATATACTTTAATAATTGACTTTTCTACCTCCATTTTGAAGAGGTAATCAAATGGGGAATCCCCTTTTACAAAAATAACGTGCAGATTTCGCTGTATTCAACATGAGATAGAATGCCGATTTCCAATAGCCCCAAAAATGTTTTAATGGTCTTGAAAACTACACAATGCATGGATTCTGTCCGATATCAGGAATTTTACTGGGATGGCTGCGTTTTCTTGTATTTTAAGCGGGTATTCTGGTTGAAAAAAGTCATTTTTTGTATAAAAATCAATACCGTGTTACCCTTTAGAAGTGCAAAAAAAAAATCAAATACGTATTATTTATATTAGATACATAGTTTTTCTTAGTTTAAAGTTTAAAAAAGTCAAGAGATATAAACCTCCTGAAAAATAAATCGCCTGTAAGTGAAAATTCACATAATGTCAAAAAATAGAGAATTGAACCTCCGTTACCATGGTAACGAAGCACCAGATGCATGACCTTCTACAGACTTTTTTTCATAATTTGCCACTCTGAACACTTCTGGAAAGTTTCAACAAGATTGACAACTTTGCGTGCCCATGTATGGTTGGTGGTTACAGAGAATTGGTATTAACAACTTAAAAATAGTATTTCATGATTCACATACCTAACTTCTGGAAAAAAATAATAGACTTAATGTAGATTCTACAATTGTTCCAGCAAATTTTTATTTATTTCTCTCTACAACTTTTTTTCGCCTGTTTTCAGATGATGGTTCAGCTTTATTGATCAGAGTTTAATGTGCGAATGAGAAGGGGATTGATTTGTATTTTGGGGGAAAGCGGGATAACTCTATTAATATGTTTCGACTCCTTTCACCGGAAGTTGTGAGTCCTCAAGTTTAATAATTCTTTCATTGCCACATACGTGTCATCTTCTTTCTTCTTCAGGTGGTATTCTATTATTTACAAATAATTACGTCTTTTATTTGTTTGCTCTGCACCTGTTTTGTATTGTTTTCTAGACTTTGATATTGAATATGTTCGTTATCTCCATATCCTTCCCTACACTTTTATTTAAGGGAAGAGATTGTTGTTTATGCTAGGCACATGTTGTGACTTAGTATGAGAATTGTAAATATATGAATTAGTGTTAAAGACTTTGAAGTAAGCAGGTAAACAGTAGCTTACATGTGGGTGAGCATCTTTTGTCATGCTTTATAGATGCATGTGTGTTTACATGTATATACTGTATTAACACGAATGTTTCTTTAGTTATAATGGGACAGAGAATAAAGTTTTAAATGATTGTATTAAGTGATTTTGAAGAAAAAAAAAAATGTTGATATTTATTTAATAATTTACTGAGTAAGTTTGACCTAATTTGTGCATCTCAGCATGCCTTAAGCGTAAAGGATATACTCATTATTTTTTAATGTGAGTTCGAGTCAAAATAGGAATACTATGTAATTCAATCTTTTTCAGTAAGATTGAACCTTTTTGTAAGAAAGAATAACTACAACATTGATAATGTTTGTTTATGCTCATTTACTATAATTTTGTTCTAAGGAAAAAATATATCTTAATTATAAATTTTGATTGCTTTGCGTCGCAAAAAGTCAATATGTCTTTTCTGATTAAAGTCTTTCCTAAAGAACTGAATGGATTACAGACATGTGGCAATGGCAGATTTTTAAACGTCTTCAGACATATAATCATGTCAACTTAACGATAAGCAAGACGTACTAAGGCCATGAATAAAACCTTATAAATCTCAAAGCTAAAATTGATATCAGGAACAGAAAAACACAAAATTGCGTTATTTCCCTAATACATGA